TCACATTCCACATGAGGAAACAAATATGGGGTTGGAGAGACTACAGGCTTTCATGTGCTGGTTCAAACCAGGTCAGTCACAGCTGAAGATTTGTCTGTTTATTGTTTCACAGATTTCAAAATGTTTTCAAACTCTTTACCTGGTCAGAACATTTGTGTGCAAAAAAATGTATGTTTGCAAGATAAAATCAGCCCCAAATTGCTTCACTTGCTTCCCAGTAATCTTTCATCGAGTTTCAATTACAAAATACCAATAATATATCAATAAACAACACTTTATTCATTTATTGATCCACATAGTTGAATCTGACCTACTCTGACTGACCATGAGCACTTTGTACAGAGATTTGAAAGGTGACCTTTTGGACTAAAATCCCCCAAATCCCCAATTACTGAGAATTCTGTAGGTGTAATTTGAAAAGTAATTTTTACAAAACTCTGCTCAAAGAGTCTCAGATGGTGAATTGCTTGAGGAATCAATGTTAGAATATCAAGGGTCTCATGCTGGGTGATGATGGTGGTGAAGTACAGCATATATGTGCACACCCTTCTCAAATGCTACAGTCCAGGTGCACTTCAGCAGGTGTGGATATGTGTGTGCATGGGTTCCTACTCACTTCTACAAGATAAAGGATTTGTTCCAGCATTGCCAAAGGGCAAGCAAGCACCTTTCTCTCTACCACAAGTGTTAAAGTAGAACTGAATGGGCTGTGGAGAAGCTGGCAGTTTGGATGAGGAACCAATGGACCATATCTTCCTTGCAAGCCTGGGGTTCCTTATGCATGTAAAACATGTGGTATGTTATGATCCTTCTCTGAAATGAGATGAACATCATTCAATTTCTAGTTGATATACCTGCATCTTTGAGAATGGCTCACTGAACCCAATGAAACTTACCCCTTAGTGGACTTGTTATGTGATGTCATTGTAAACATACCTGGAAATCTTCTTGAATTAGAATCATAGAGTTGGAAGAGACCTCATGGGCCATCCCTCAAGAATTATCTCTCAAGAGCTCTGCTTTGTCATAATGTTGATGAATCACATTCCAACTTCACATAACAATGTTCCAGATTCACACATAATACTATTGAGACTACCTACCTTTCCCATTATCACCCAAATGGTCCAGGCTCTGTAAGTCAGTAAAAAAGTGTTGTCTTTATGGCTTAATTTCAAATGGAATGATGCTTGCCACTACAAGCAATGTAGCATAGTTTGTAACCCCTTTCCATCTCTTTGGAAGTGTATGGGGAACTTTGTGTGATGGCTCCAAAATTCCATAGGGAAAAAATTGAATTTAGAAGGGATAACTATCCATTAAGTAACTAATCAAAGGATAACAGTGGGGGGAAAAATTGCTTGAGCCACTGTCATAGAGGAAGGATGATCCAATGATCTAAGAAAAATAAAGCGGCTCCATTATTCTGCATATAGCAGTACAGTGGTATCCTTGTATCTCATCATCTGGTATCCCAGCATCTGGTCTTCTGCACTTGAAGACTACAGGACATGAGATGGGGCTCCACAGAATGTGCTAGACTTTGTTACTTCATGCTGGAGAAAAGCAACACAATAAAGTGGAGCGAGGTCATTTAGTTTGGCTTGAAATGAGGTGTTGTGTGGAAAACTTCCTGTTTCTATGGTAGCAGGGATATTCATGTCACCATGAGTGTAGCATGACTAAATCATTCAGAGAACCCTCCATTGTGAACAGGGTAGAAAGTTCAGGGGCATTTTGTTTTTACCTCTCAGTTCAGCCTAAAATGAACATCTGAAGTTGAAGAAATGTACTGTACTAGAGAGAGGGTGGCTAACCTTTCTGTAGGAATAACCTTAAAAGAGAGTTTGCAACTTTCAAGCATCCTACCTCTTCAGACTGTAGTCCAATACATGAGACCTGCTGATTCCAGGTTCCATCAGAATGGTGAATAAGTTCCAGCAGCATTGACCAACCTGTGATGGCTCATCCACACATTGAAGTTATTGATTCCTGGTCTTTTGTTCAGTAAGTGATTGTGAATCTCTGGGAACCAGGTGCGGTATGCTCTTACTGTACCACATTCTTTCTGCTTCTCTTTTTCCAAAGCATCATGAAAGATATCACTCAAAAGCCTAGTAGCATGTCAGCGCTCTTTAGCAGCCAGCTACTGACAGGTACATTAAATAAAAACAAGGTTGCCTAAACCCAGCCTTTCAGCTGTGAGTCCCGAATGTTACATTATACTGGTAAATAAATAAGCAGAACTAAATACAGATAATGTGTTAAACTGTTAGAGCTCGTAAATCATCATCGGCAGAATGCCTTAAGCGAAATTCCTTTATTTACATGGATAAAGGGCCTACTTGGAGCACTTTATAGAATGTGTGTGTGTCCGTGTGTGTGTGCTTATGTCTCCAGACACATAATAGTAAGCTGTACAATTGGTTAGTTAGTGCAGAAACCATTTAGAAACTATGCATGTCTCCAACACTTAACATCACTTATGCATCCTAGTTTAGTTTTTGTGGAATAATGACATTGCTGGCAGAATACTACATACTGAGCGCGCAACCATTTCTCTGACATACATAATGCCATACTTAGAATATTTGGCATCAGGAGTGGAGGAGAGGGGACCCCCTCCACCTCTCAAATGATTGGCTGTATTTTAAGAGGCAATGTAGCTTCCTGTTCCACCTCAGACACTAGAATGTTTTGGGTCAGTCTTCCAGAATGCTAGTCTTCTATGTTGGAAGTATATAGATGGAGGATAAGAATGGCTTCAGGCTACCTCTTCCACTGGAACTAGCTCCCAGGATTTCACACAAGGCTAAACCAGTATCAGGAAAGTGCTGAAAGGAAGCTGTTCTTAGCCCTGATACTCTGCGGCCCATGTTGCATCATTTTCTTATTTCCCATAACTCTGAGGACAGGTTGGGTGCATTTTTGCCAGTCCATATCTCTAATAAGAAGTCAGTTGTAGTTCATTCAGGCACTGGGGGTACTTTGGTGCTGGGTGTGGTTTAAGTTCACGCTGCCTTGCCTTTGTTGGCAAGGAGGCCTGGTTCAGATAGCTCTTTGGTTTTCCCACCCTTTCCCCCTTTCACAACTAGAAAAGGCCTTGACCATCAAACTCTTACTCTCATAGTCTAGACAAGAAACACAAAAGCTCTTTTCTTTGCACCTTCTTATTGCCTGCATCTAGGGCTGACCACTGCTACTACTCTGCCTTGGTACACCAGTGGACACATCTCTTGAAAATATGGAAGAGGGATAAAACTATATATATATATGCCTTCCGGGCAGAGACATTTAAAAATCACACAAATCTGAAGTTTCCTGTTAAAAAATAAGATATTAATGGATACTAGGTATTATACTTGAGAACACGCCACCTTCCCAATGTATAAAACTATGGAAAGGACCTTCAAGGATCAAATAAATAACCATTTAATTAATATCAATTTTCTGGTTATGATTCAAAATTCTTCTAGTCATACATGAGTGCTTCAAGGACATGGACATGTGTAGAATGTCACTAAAAGTAGGTCTTGATCTCAGATTTTCATACCCACTGACTATAAATCACACTTTCAAAAACCCATAGTTCAATTCTCTAAACTATCATGTTGCTATTAAGTAGTTGTTGTGGGCAAAAGACATGTAAAAGGAAAGCACTACACTGATGAGTTACTATCCATTTGGCAGTTCTAGTCTATTGTTGGAGGTTTGAATCATATTAACAGTTTCTCATGGTGGTATAGGTGTACATCATTGTAGCTTATCTATTCCCATGATTGTGTTTTTAATAACAATTTTGTGAATGGTCAGCATTAATGGTGTAATTGACACTGTCAGTAATTTTCCCATTCATTTCTCCTCACTATTCCCAGTCTACAAACCCCTTCCCACAGCGCAAAATTTGGGACAACACTTTGAGTCCTTGATCACATGAATGACAGCTGATAAATTTGTGAAGGTTTTATTAGTCTTCCTTGGTTAGCTGTCTCTTTGTGTTCAAAGTTGCTCACATGGACAGTGTTAGCATGAAAGTCTGGGGAAAAATGCAAAGGTGTGACAAATGCCTTTGTTTTAATGCTAGGGATATTACCAGAAGGCAAAGTCAAAGAATACTCATATAGGTCACATCACACTGAAGAACTTGTGTATAGGAATGCTGCTGATTTTGAACATAATGTAGCAAATATTATCTTCATACTAGATGTTTTAAGATTCCAAAGGGAATTATTTTTTACCCTTGCTTTTGTTTTTTTCAAGACATAGTTATGGGATTTCTTTTGTGCCACTACCACTCCAGATTAATATGTTGATAGCTTATTAGAGCTACCAAAGCATAAAAGAACAGCTTTTGTGGAATTTTAGATTGGCCAGTCAGACTGAACTTTGCTTTTCATATAAGGATATTTATATGATCATTTCATGAACATGATAGTTTTGGGTTTAACACAGTAACAAGAGACCTTTGTCCCAAACAAATGTATTAGCACTATGTTGCACAGCTCACCTAAAACACAGATATGGGGAAGAAAATGAACTAAGGGATTAAATGAATGCTTTATGAACATTTATATCAATAATTCCGATGCTTAATTGTGCTTATACAAATGTCAAAGAAAACATTGAATTTGTGCTGTAGTTTTGTAAGACTCAAATGCAGAACAGCACATTGGAAAGTGTGTGCCAAGAATAGGATAGAGAGAAGGAGAGAGAGAGAGAATGAATAATGAAGGTTGATGGGAGGGATAGAGGGCAGCTTGTGAGCGCACACTGAAACTTTAGTCAATGTAACAGCTCTTTCCAGAAAACCAGACAAAAGATTGTTTGTATCACATGGGCACCAAAGCATTTTCACGCTCTATGAACCAAAGACTAGTATTGAACTTTGAAATATTAGGGTAATTTGAGAATTCAACCATGACCATACTATCTAAACAGACTGGTCTGTGTCTTTGTGAATGACTGAGCACGCTCAGTAAAGAACAAGGAGGTTCCAGGTGTTGGTTCAAGTGTAATTTTTGTTATTAAACATGGGTTGCGACAGAAGCTTCTACAAGGACTTGCACATAACCATGACTGATGGATGTATTCGTCGGCCGTTCAGTTAGCTCCATCAACTCACTCAAGACACATTTTGAACAGATTATGTACTGCGGTACTTGGTAGACCATACATTAAACAAGAGACTTTGCTCTGAGGCCCTGCTTCCCACACTCCGCGGGGAAAAAGGAAAAGGAAAATGAAAAGAAAAAGGAGAGAACAAAACTCATAGAGTTCAACAGCTACTGAGGCAACATCTGCCATTTACATTATAAGCCCAAATATTTCTTTTTTGCAACACAACTATATATTAATTTAATAAAATACACAATATAGCTCTTATACACTCAACAATTTGGCTCAAATGCACTGAATCTGCAATAAATCAATAAAAATATGTCATTTGATGTAAACACATTGAATCTTCTTACATTTGCACATTTAAATGATTTATGTGGATTTGCGTGGATGTCTGAAATGTTTCACTCACTTGAGCTATTTTAGTGTCCACAAATGACTTACAAAAGGTGTTAATAATGTTAATTTATCTCCTCTATTATTACCCATCAAAGGATAATTATTATTTGTGATCTCATATTATGCCTCAGGTTTACAACATACTGCTAGCCTAGAGTTCTGCTGGACACTAAAGTCTCTTCTCCCTCTTCTTACCTTGTGAGTTAGTTTATGCGTGTGCAGGACAAACATGGACTCTACCATTTTACATTTAACTTTAATATGACATGAGCTGAATTACTAATGATCAGAATATTTTTGCTGAACAATGCTATGGAATGGGATCTTGGGTTTCTTTCTCTCTTTTTTGTTTGTTTTTCTTTTCTTTTGTGTGTGTCTATGTGTGTGTGTGGCAGATAACTTTATACAGAAATGGTTATCACAAATGACTGTTAATGCTTGGTGTAGCTTGGTTGACTACAGGGATTTTTGAATGTTTACTTGGTTTCTGATTTTGGGATTTTCAGTAGAAGCATGTAATGACTGCTGGAAACCTATCACAGAACTATTCCACCCTGCTTTTTATGGGGTCTACAGGTAAACAGTGAAGTCAACATCAACTATCAGTCTTAAAATAACAGGTTCCATTTGTCTTTTTTCTACAACTTTCTATTAGATTGTCAAAGTGGCACCAATTTTCTGTCTTTCCTTCCTTCCTTCTGTCCTTTCTTCGTTCCTTCCTTCTTTCCTCACTTCCCTCCCTCCTTCTTTTAACATACATCACACTGTTCTAATGAAAGTTTGGTAAAAAACGAAACCAGTGTTATCTGAAAAAGAAAGAGCAGTGAAAAGAACATACTTGTGGGCACTTCAGATGTTCACTAAAAGCCTTAAAGCAGCATTGGTCTTCGTTCATCCCTGTATAAATTTTAGAACCAGGGGAGATTTTTTTTAATTCAGCAGAAGAAGCAAATAAATGCCAGGCTGTCTTTTGTTTTCTTTTGTTTCATTTTCTCACAGCCACAGGGTCATTTCCCCGACAGTCCTGTAAAAGCTTGTCAATCTCCCGGACTACTTCCTCTGCATCCACTGACTCTCTCCCTAGTTCCCTGTTTGAACGGTCTATCTGCTCCAACACAGCGTCCATCTCAGAGGAGTCTCGGCTCACTCGGGAATGTACCTCAGCAAAGACCCTAGCCATCTGATCAGATGCAATGAATGCAGCGTCTCTGGACTGTTTACTAGGTGATAGGTACTGACTGTCAGTAGCTGTCATGTACTGGCTGCTGGGTTCAGCCAAGGCTCCTGGTTTGACTTCACAACTATCCAGTGGTCCTTTTGTCGAGGCGCAAGGCTCAATACAGGTCTTGGTTGGGCTGCTTGATGCTGAGGGAACCTCTTGGAGGAGAGGACTCAGGGCACGTTTGGCTTTGAGATAAGGTTTCACATTGGCAATGAGAATAGTGTGCTCTCTCTTGTCTTTCCCAAATGTACAAAAAGTCTTTTTCCCCGTGGGGTTCACAGTTTCGTAAGTCTCAGTCTCAACATTAGCTTCCACTGTGGGGACAAAGAGATTTGTTCGATAATCTGCATTTTCAGCCTGGTTGGCAGTGGGGAACTGGGGCATCCAGCATCTATCAGAATGACCAAGCACTCGGCATTCATCTGTGCAATTAATGCACTCTTCTTGTTCTGCAAAATAAACAAGAAACAACAAGGCTTTTAAATCATTAATCAGCTCCCTTCATCAGATTACAACCTGCTCCCTTGGCCACTGGAGTTCTTCATTATGAAAAGAAATCACAGTCGGACATTTCAGGAGCATTGCATAAACCAACCAGTTGAGAGAATAGATTTATTTAGAACTATTCCCAAGGTACACCCATAGCTATACAGACCAGAGGAAACAGAAATGGGATCATTACAGACTTCCACTCAGTAGAACTGAGCATCAACCATAGACTAACCTGGTGTAGAAATATGTTGGGCTTTGTTGTGCTAAAATTGTTTGAGAAAGGGTAGTCACAAATACCAAGAATTATTATTTTACTCCTAACAAATCCAATAACTGGATAATGCCTGACTCCACACAAATACAAACTGTTCATAAAAATTAAAAAAGCTTAGCTCCATCATGAGGCTTCTGCTTGTTTGTAATTGTTATGTTGCATGGCAGTTTGTGTAATGAAAGGAGTTTCTTGAAAAGCTTTCTTTCCCAGCGAAGAATGCAGAAATGGAGTTTTCTACTATTGTGCATTAAGTATGAGCTTGTCAAGAAAGGCATTATTGCTGTTTTATTTGACATGAGTATGGATTGTGTAATTGGTTTTTTCCCCTTTTTTCTTTTGTTTGATGAAAAAAATGGGAAATTGATTTGTGAAATTCATACTATTAGGAAGGATGTCATGCATTTACATTTTCGTGAAATAGATAATATTTCCAGTCAGGCAACTTACTTTGTTTTCTCAAAGTGATTGCAAAAATTGTTAATGAAGCAGGTTTCCTACTTGATCAACAAAGGGTTATAATAAGAAGCAAAAAAAAGTATGTGGTTATAAAGAACTGTGCGTTCATGCACTTTTTGTACTTGTGCATAAAACATGCTTTGGATGACCTGTGCATAGGCCATAGGGATCTCTGTGGATGGCCTCTACTGCTAGGAGCATTAAGTAGACATATGTGTTTTTGTATGTATGCATGTATGTATGATCCCATCTTTCTTCCAGCACAGAATCAACATCTTAAAAGCACAGTATAATTTAAAACTCAATATAAAAGTAGAAACACAATTACACTTAAGTTATGTACAAAACACAAATTAAAAACAAGTTAAAACAGCATTAAATGCAGTTAAAATATAACATTTAAAGACACTTAAAACATAATGAAATAAAAACACTACAACCCTGTTTAAATCCTTATTTGCTACAACAGACTGAAAACTCAAAGCTTCCTTTATAAAATAAGTAACTCCTACAGAAAGACAGCATGGAGGGGGCCAACTGGACCTTCTGGGGAAGGAAGTTCTCTGGAAAAAGCCACCAAGTAGAGCGTCTCTTATGTCCTCACCAGACAGTAGTGGTGGGACTGAGCAAAAACCTGCCTCTGCAGATCTTCAAAGATAGGTAGGTTCACATTGGGAGATTTTTTTTCAAATAGTCAATCTCTATCTTCCTCCCCACCAACACAGCACCTTTTCATCTTCAGAATCATGCAAGTGAGGCAAGTGTTACAAAAATGCAGAAAATAGTTTAGTTGAGTTTATTAGTTTAATCATTAATCATTGCCATGAAAAGAGGGGTTTGTGACATTTCCTGTTATAGGTCTCAAAATAATTTAGCAGGCATTGTGAAGTGTATAAATTTGACAGGAGGGCATGTAACATTTGGTTTGTGACACTGAGATGCTTGGATGACATGGCTAGGCAACTAGTGGCCATCTTCTTTTTATTTGTCAATAACTTATCATTCACCACTGACCATTCTTTTTTAAATCTGCTTTGAGTGTTGACTTTATTGTGCAGGCAAGGATATGACTCCTCCCAACATATGATGTTCCCATCTTCATGCATACCCTCACTTTATATGTACTGTATTTCTTCAACTGTAAGACATTATCCATTGTAAGATGAACCAAAATTTCAGTACCACTACTCAAAATACATAAACTACACCTGCAATTCTAAGGTCCCTTCTACACAGCCATATAATCCAAATTACCAAAGCAGATAATCCACATTGTCTCCTTTGTACTGCATTATAAGAGCCTACACTGTAATCCAGTTTAAAGCAGATAATTTGGAGTTTATATGACACTCTGAAAAGGGCAATAGAATGGAAGAAATATAGTATATAATCTGATCAATTTTTATAGTTTGTAAATTTGATGCTACATACTCCTTGCAATCTTGTATTATGACATTTTTGAAGCTTTGGTGTTAACATATAATTTTTTAAAAGCACTTTCAAATATGGAAACTTTTGGTGTATTTATTAGGCATTTTGAAGATGTACTTTAAAGTTTATTGGCTTTTGTAATGAGGAAAAAGGCAAAAACATGTGAGTGGGAAGTTCTGACAAATTGTTGTTGCCTTCCAGATTTAGGAATTTTCTTTATTTTTATCTTCTCCTTTGAAAAGAGCACACTAGCTCTTTGCAAAGAAGTGGATGAGTATTTTAAAAAAGGGGTAATTGACAGTTGTGCAAAAGATGACATTTCATTCAGTGAAACTTACATGACATTATCTCTGAAATTCTGAAATATTCTCTCCCACACAACGGTCACAGTACATGAGGCCACACCTAAGTATATGGCAGCATAAAATCTCACAGAAAAAACATCCAAAGAGCATCCCATCGAACACAGACTTGTAAAGCCCATTGGCGAATCTGTTGGGAGCTTCTCTTGTACATGTTCCACGTGGTCATGTGATTATGGTACTAATCCAGGGCACTGCCACTTTGGGTTGGCTCCCGGATTCAGTAGGGCTCTTTACATGCTCTACCTTCAAGCTGTGACAGCAGTGGGGAAGAGAGTCCAGACTCTCCAGTTAGGCTGTTCCTAATATAGCTTATCTGGACAGTCACCCATAAATTGGATTGTTGATACTGTCACTGCAGCAGCCAGCACAGGGTTCTGCAGAGCTCCCGGCTGCCACTGAGACATCAGCAAAGGCACCTGTGCAACTAAGGAGAAGGAGTGAGAATCACCTCTCTTTTTTCCTTGGTCAGGGGTCTCCTTTGCTGATGTTAGCAACAGTGCCCAACAACAGATAGGAGCTCTTTGGAGCTCTCATCACAGGAGCTCTCATCTGACCACCAGGAAACAGGAAAGATGTGACACTGATCTGACAGTGGGCTGGTTCAAATTAGAGCTAACCTGGAGTGTGTGTCTGCTCTGGAGTTTTAGTAAAACACCAGAACATTCCCCAACTTCTTTTAATGTGTGATAAAATCAGTGTAGATAAGCTCCAAGAGTTGTTCACTTGTATGCCTCATCTCTTAAAAGAAAAAAAAATGCAAACACTTACAGCCCATTTGACCACCTAGATGTATATAATACCTACTCAGATCACCCTCTTTTATGTAAAGTTATTGTGCCTAAATTGCTTCTGAAGTATTTTCAGGGATTAAATGAAATGCATGCAAAGATAAAACAATGGATTAGACATGTAGACAAAGTACAGTAGACTCTCACTTATCTAATATAATTTGGCCGGCGGAATGTTGGATAAGCGAAAATATTCGATAATAAGGAGGGATTAAGGAAAAGCCTATTAAACATCAAATTACATTATGATTTTAGAAATCAAACACCAAAACATCATGTTTTACAACAAATGGACAAAAAAGGCAGTTCTATACATGGTAGTGTTGTGTCGTAATTACTGTATTTACGAATTTAGCACCAAAACATCACAATATATTGAAATAGCTGTGGATCCAGGCAGGAGGCAGACTATGTTGAATAATACAGAACATTGGATGAGTGAAGGTTGGATAAGTGAGACTCTACTGAAAGTGTAGCCATGCTATTTCAGCCATCCCAATTTGGGCTGAAGCACTCACATATCCTGGAATCTATTGTAATGTCTTGCACAGGGAAGGGCTTTTCATAGCAACTGCAGCCATAATCAGGTCTCAGTGTCCCTGTGTGCAGTATTTCTTCCTGGGTGAGAATATTCTTTCTTTCACTCCCTTTCTGCCACTGTCAATGGTCTCCAAAATCTTCTGAGGCAACCATCTCACCTTGCCTGTTGTATATCTGCTGCTAGAGATGACCCCCATTTGCACTTGTCTATTCCCCTAGCCATTTCCGAGTGTGTACAAAATTCACAAGGTTTGTATTTATGCTTGTGGTATTGACTAGGCTTCCATTTAAGCTACCTGGGATTCCTAGCACCAGCTGAATTAAATATGAAGCAAAAGGGAGAGGTGGGGGAAGAGCGAGTGGTTTTATGAGGAAATCGGCACATGTTGACCTTGAAGGGAAAACCCACCAGCACTCCAAGCTGGAAGTGTGCTAGAAGGAAGGTGAAAAAAATCAGCAGGTTTCTTCTCCCCTCCCCATAAAAACTCCCTCTTTTATGTCACATCACAGAAAGCAGATTTGAAGTATTGATTATCATATATTATAAGCTGCTCACCTCACCATTAGCCTGCAATTTTGACTTGCTGCAGCTAGCAGCTGGGGAAGAAAATCGAAGAAGTACTTTTGTACCAGCAGAAAGAAAGAGGGGGAGGGCTGTAAACACAGAGTAAACTATCACAACCCAGGTAGGTCTAAATTAGTATTTATGAGAATGTGGAATCAATTTAAAAGGTAAGAATAAACATAGAAAATGGGCCCACATCTCGCATTGTGCTGCAAAATGCCTTGGGAGGGTGACAGGCATGATTGGTCTTTATCCCAACTCAGGTCTACCTTCCTCCAACTGAAAATAAACCCTTCGCAGTCCAAGTGTGTACAATAAACAGCAGCAGCCTTGAGGCTTTTGTCAGTCTCTGGAGGCTCTGGGGTAAACAATCAGAAGCGCTTTGTGCACGTTTGGGAAAATAACACCAAAAATAGAGCAGAGAAATTAGCAGCTATAGAAAGCCAAGGAAACAAGTGACTTAGAATTAACCATGGCTGGTAAGTTAGAGGAAGGGTTGGGAGGCAAGAGGCAGGATAGTTGTGGCAGAATTCAAAAA